AAAACAAGTGTAAGTAATTTTGAATTTACTGTTTTGTCAAAATGTTTCGTCAAAAACCCAGCGAACGAAGTTAAATTAATGAAAAATGACAAGCAAATATCAGGATATTTCATTTTTGGAGTAATTTCAAAAAAATTCTTTGTTCGAATTATTTTAGATTTTTCTGTGAGTATAAATGATGAGAGTAATAAATAAGAATTCTTTTAATTATTTTAATATGAAAGCCTATAAATATTTAAATTTATAAACTATCAGATTGTAAATATAAATGAAATAATTCTACATGACTCATATTGAAAACGCCCTGTACAGTAGTTTAAGAATGATTTGTTATTATAAGCATTTGTATTTATAGAAACATGGGAATGGATGAAAAACCAGACAAAGATCAGGAAGAACATCATTTACATGCACTAAGAGAATGGCTTGAAAGGCAAGAGTATTTACCTCAAAATATAAGTAAGAATTAAAAACTTTTTTGTACTCTTACATTACAAAAAAGAGATTATTATTTAATTGCAAATCTAAACTATAAATCAACTTTTACAGATGATACATTTCTAAAAAGATTTCTCAACTGCTGTAATAACAGCGTAGAGACTGCTAAAGGTCTGATAGATTTGTGTTTTACAATTAGGTCTCAAACTCCAGAAATTTTTGAAAATAGAGACCCACTTAGTCCGTCCATTCAAAACATCATAAAAACATCGTTAGTACAAATTCTAATGCTTGGCATACCTACACATTTTTCTCGATAATTAATTCTTTATTATCAATTATTTTTAGAGACATGGTTCCTTTACCAAACTATACAGACAACAATTATCAGGTTTTCATTTACAGACTTTGTGATCCAGACCCTGACAAATTTGTGTACGCTGATTCGCTGAAAACGTTTTTCATGTTTTCTGATTTGCGTATGCTAACAGACATCAACTTGCCAGACGGGGAAGTACCTATATTCGACATGTCAGGACTATGTTTGCGACATATATCTAAAGTTTCACTACATTTATTAAAAAAGTATATGCAATATACTCAGGTACATAATTATTATTTCTTTTATTCGGTCGCTTTAGTTTCTAAAAATAATTTTAAATTAATTTATAAGGTAATGTAACGTAATTTATGACGTGCGAATCTCAAATTCTGCGTAAAAGCACTCTACATTACTATATAAAAATTTTAGGAAGCACACCCCGTGAGACTGAAACAAATTCATATAATAAACACCCCCTCTTTTGTGGATAAAATGATGTTATTAATAAAGCCATTCTTGAAAAATGAAACTGGAAGAATGGTAAGAAAACACTTCAAAGAAACCTTTCTATTTTATTTCGTGATTAACGTTTTCGTCTCAATTTCCTTTCATTCCACGAAAATGATAAACCTAAATAGCTATATTAAAACAGATACCTACTTTACACCTCAAACCTCACAAAAAACCTGTCTGCATTTATTTTTAATAAATATATGACCCCACAAAAACTTCTTCTTTAAAACATTTTGTTTTATCAGCGACTAATATAATTTGAATTAATATTTGCCTAAATATTGTGGACCGGCTGCAAACATTTTTTCACCACCTATCATGATGCTATTCACTATTCATGAGATACTTGAACAGCGTGGTCTTTTTTTTTGTTTAAAAAAAATGAAGATTTTTGGTGAGTCAGTGTCCCTTACGTATGTGCAATCAATGAACTACGTTGAACAGTCGAACTGATGATGAATGAAATGAATCTAAGAAAATTTCATTTCAAAAATGTTAAGAAGACCACGTTGTTCTAGGAGGAGGCTAAAATAGAACCATATGGTTTATAAACAGGCCTTAAAAGAAACATAGCTTACCTTATTGTGCATTACACTTTTTTGTTCACTGTCCTTCCATGCACCGTCTTGTAAATTGTATATACCCACAATTTTCAGATGCACTTTCATTCTTCTGATCTGTCAACTTTGTACGAGTACGTACCAAAAGATTTACTGCCCGAAGAGTATGGTGGCGAATCTGGAAAACTGTCCGATTTGAAATCGCAACTTACTCAAAAACTGATCAATAATCGAGATCTATTTCTTGATGAAACGCGATGGAAAGTAGACGAGAGCAAGAGACCTGTTAAAGACAACAAATCTAAACAACTTTTCGGAATAGAAGGGTCTTTTCGATCCCTTAGCATAGACTGAAGTCGTCCCACGGCATACATATAACTAGTTTTTATTACATGGAAACGTGCAAAATTCATACTACATGTTATTTTTCAACACCCTGTAGGCGCATATTTTTAGGTATTGTAGATCTTCATATCGATCTCTAAGGGAAATTAGTTTAAAGTAATATAATTTTTAACTCTGTGATGGTTAAATGTTTAAAATCATTATTTTCAATTAAAGTTAAAATAATATACCGGATGTAAGCGACTTTTCGATAATTTTAAATGAGGTTTTGGACATAATATGCAAGTATCACAATATTATATTGTTTACATTAATTACTGATTTATTTTATTTAAAATAAAAATTTTCTAATAACTGTAGCCATCGTTGTTTTGTTCGGAAATATGACGTTATGAAAGAATATCATAATACAACATAATAATCTAAATTGTCTTTCAATTAACTAAAGTACTGATTTGTATACAGAAGTTTTATGATTAAAGTTTTCAGATAAACCATTTAAATATTCCGTCGCCTATATTAATTTTGAAATAAATCTTGAAAATTATGTTTAAAAAAATAATGGCAATTCGTACCTTTAAAATAGGTGAAGACTAAGAATTTCGGTCAAAGGACGAAGTTGATTACACCTCCCAGGCGCGCCCAGAATGTTTCACATCAAAAAATAAATGGACTTTATATTTCCGATAAACAATAAATAATTAAAAAGTTTTAGAGCACTTCTGGAAGGTTATTCAATAAAAGGGGTATATTACGTACCAAAAGGGAATAATGTGCGACATTCCTACCCAGGTACGAATTGCCACCCAAGCAGAAGGTGAAAATGGCAAATTCCTGGGAGGATTTTTTGTCGTATCTCTGAAGGTATGATTTTTCCTAGTTTCAGGGACGAAAACGACATTAACTCACAGGTAAGAAATCGCATTTACTTTTTATTAGCAAAGTATGTATTTTAACATCAGCCGCATGGAAATTGCCACATGAGCCGAAGACGACTGTGGAAATGGAAAAAACTTTTGGATATTTCATATCTACCAGCTACTAATACTGGTGAACGGACAGGCCTTTTAAATTACGCCGGAGGATAGGGCGGAAGGCGGGAATAGTATAATCCTTTCCTTATAAGGACATTCTTAGATTAAAATAACATTGTAGGTCTTCATACTTAATTGTGACTGTTGTTATTTCTCCAGATAATTAATCACTTTTTACATATAAGTCATTAAAGAAGCCCAAAGATGAAAATTGTTTTTAAAATATGTGGTTCAAAATTACGAAAACTCCTTACTTTCGGAAGCTAATTAACAAAAATTAATACAGGGTGTGCATCGTTTACAAAAAAAAAGAAAACCTTGATCATAAACCATTATTTTCGGCTACTTTCGGCGTACCAAAATTGAAGAAAATTATCAATTTTATTACACCGAAAGAAAAGAAGTGGTACGATTCGACTTCACTCTAATTTTAACGGTATTTTTTTTTCTTTTTTAAAATTGTTGCACTTATATTATTGAAGGTTGAATTTGATGATAACGTATATTTGGCTGGATTTTTTAAACACGTCAAAACTTTAATCACCCTGTATGTAATGTTACATTACCAACCAATGAGGAAAAAGGACTGGAAAATCTGGCAAAGTAACGTAAAGTACGTTACAAAAATTATTACTTAACTACACATTTATTTATAATTAACAAATAAATAATTAATATTCCATCCGAAATATAATAGCATTGTATTTATCACAAAAAAAAGAAACTTAATTTATTTCCTAATGTCCGTCAAAATTACTGAAAGGTTATTCGTTTGAATAAATAATAAATTAATATTAATGATAATAATAATAATCAACAATAGCCTTATTCTCTTCTCATCATAAAATTCATTGCTAACGTAGTAATAGTTGGTACTACGTAAAGATACTAAAAGAAAAGATCAATCACAGTAATTTTTTTAAATAAAAAAGGATTACTTGTTTATCTAGGGAAGAAGGATGAGAGCAGGACGAAACTGAGATCAATTTGTCTTCGACTTAAAATTCCTCGTCAGAAGCAGGCCCATGTTCTGTATTCCTGGCCAACATATAATTATCCATATCGATGGTACGACAATTGTATATAGAATATTTTAGTTTTTCGGCCATCACTTCTTGGGTTGAGTAAGGAGGCAGGCGTAGCTGGAAAAAGCATGTCTGAGCAGTTGGCAAGCTGTTAAGGGCTCTGTCGACTTTCATTATCTAAAAAATAAAAGTTAAACAGAGTGCGTTTCGACACACATTAAGAGGGCTCCTATAAGATTGACTTCATTATGAATATTCTGTTCAAATTTTTATTTGCTTACACGTGAACTATCTAAAATATATATAATTCATGTGCAGAGCTAAGACATTCTACCTACCTGAAATCTTTGGGAAAGATCCGCCAAGTTGGCCGGCAAACGGGATCGACCTGATACAAATCTCATAAAAAGGACCCTTTCGGCATTTGTAAAATTCCCTAAAATATTCCACAGCCATTGAACCAGTTGATGATTCTCATCTAGATCACGGTATCTAAATAAGAAAATACAAAAAACCTTTATATACTACTACACCAACAAAGGGAACCCAAGTAAATTAGTTAACTACTTGAATTTTCGTTTTTTCATGAACTGTGCACCGTACAAAATTCAATTTCAATTAAACTTAGCATAAATCGATTATTTATTATCGATTTACCTAACTATTTTCTTTAAAGAAGCAATTGAAATGTGAGGCAATCCGCAGACCAGTTGCTCCATATGCTCCGAAGTAACGAGGGATAGTAAGGGAACAGGGATTATACCCGCCATACCCTCCCGAACCGCAGCCACTTGCAAGTCGAACTCGTGGAATCGAAAACTAACCGCCTGTTCAAAATATTGAGTACGATTGTTGAAGGTCAAGGGTATATTTCTACCACCAGGTACAATTGGCACAATCTAAAATGCAATTGAAAGAGCATTAAAGCAGTAAATAAACAGCACCACTTGGTTAATCTACATAAATTCAAAATTATTGTGAGTGACCTTAAAAAGGGTTTCGCTAGCAAATCGTTTACAAGATCGATATCTCGAAGGCTTAAGACTGAAAAAATTACCTTGCCAGTACAGCTTGTTCCTTCAAACCATTCCAATGGGATAATATCGTGGAAATTAGCTTCAGTGATACCTGAAAGATGGATGTCCCTAATACTACGTAAGCTTTGCACGTACATGCTGTCCACATCTTCTAAATCTTCAACTGTTATGGGCTCGTCGACGATTAGTTTCCACATCATGGGGGCTAAAGGAACAGCTAAAGGTTTCCTTGTGCGCATCGCCACGCCAAACAAGATTCCTAAGTACAAATAGTACATTACGCATGGTAAAGTAAATAATGTTACAGACTTTCTTCGTGAACAAAAGTTGCATAAACAAATTTTGTGCGCATGCGCATGACTTAACGGAAATATAGCGCAACCGTCCAACTAGCGTTGCTAGATGTAATTACCGGTTTGTACCATAATTTTAGGCTCAAATTGAAGTATTATGTTATTAACAAATTTGAATTTCTAAAAGATGAACTATGAAAATATTATAGTTAAAAATACGCACTCTTCTGTTAGCAGTTATATGTTTGTTGACTTTGTAAGTAAATTTTCATATGATGTATTTATTTCTTTTTCAACTTTACCTAAGAATTTGAACCATTGCAAATGTTGTTGGTTGGTCAGTTGAGGATTAAACAAGTATTTGTCACGATTAAATCCTTCGTCATTAACAGCATTTGGGGTTGGCACCAGAATTGGTACAACCCCAGAGATAATTTCCTGACACATCTCGGTGATGGTGTCATCAAAAACCCCGCCTGCGTCATCAGCTCCTTCTCCTATCAACTTGACCTTCCATGCCCTCGAAGGAAGCCGTAATTCATGAGGTTTCATACTGACAACCTGTTTAGCCACTTGGATAAAAATAGGTTTGCATTTCTTTCCTACACAATAACAATTAAGTTAACATTGTTGATAAATAGCTAATCAATAAATTACTTTACGTACCTTTATTTGATATCCTTTTAACAATCACTTGGGGTCCGTAATTTCGTCCTTGCACCATCGTTTTCCCAATGCAACGTACTAGAGGTAAGGTATAAACTTTGGGGGCCAATAATGGTCTCAATTTGGACGACGTTAATCCCTCTAAAGGAGGCACCTTCATATTTTTTTGTTCTGCACCCATCGGTATCAAAGTCCAGCAAGAATAAAGTTTATCCGAAAAATTGTACAAAAATTTCAACCGTATCTGGATCGCTTTGATAGATAATCCTTGAAGATGTGTATACTGAACAGGTATTTCTGTTGGAAGACCAAAAGAGAGGCTCCTACTAGTGCCCGGTAAATCTTGGGGATGGGGAGCTGCGGTCCACGCGGCACTATGAGTACGACCTGTAGAAATCTGTTTAATTCCTTTATCTGACAGTTCACAAATAAGTTCTGGTTCTCGAGCCAATGACATATGCGGCAGTCCCAGCTGTCCTTCTGAATTTATACCCCAACCGAATACTTTACCACAAGACGTTAGGAACAGAACGTGTTCTGTGCCAATACTGAAATCTTCAACTTTATATTCGGCAAGGGAAAGGAGTTGTTGAGGTTTGTAGTCTGTCCTTTCCCTTGGATGCACTTGCCATGGTATTCGGTCAATTCCACACACAAAAATACGCCCATCTTTGGTCAAAAAAACTGTAAGATTAGTACCACAACCGACTTTCTTAATTCCTATGTTACACATTGATTGCACCCGTTGTGGAATAGCAATAGTAGATGTATGTCCCAAGCCCAGTTTTCCAAACTCTCCTTCTCCAAAGGTCCACACTATCATACCGTCGGATGATACACAGGCAGTATGATTAAGACCGCAAGCAACTTGTCCAATTTTGTAACCTTCCAAAGCAGTTACCTGTTCTGGATTTTTTTTATTTGAAGTAGACCCCAAGCCAAGCCTTCCGTAATCTCCGTTTCCAAAAGTGAATAGTTTTCCATCAGCTGTTACAACGGCGCTATGTTTAAAACCACATGCTACTTGCACTACTTCTTCATCTTGAAGTGCGTCTATCTGTCGGGGCCTGCGTTGACGGTCGCTATTTCCGTGACCCAATTTTCCAAAATCACCGTCGCCCCAGGAGAACACTTCTCCACTTTCGGCTAAGGCAAGACTATGTCCATCTGAGCCCACCGATGTAGCGAGATCGGTTATTACAAAGCCTTGTAGGCTTGATATAACGCTTAAAGAGTGAAGATCATCAGAATTTCCTTGACCCAAACGCCCATAACTTCCTTCTCCACATGCCAACACTGTACCATCAGCTTGAATAACGAAAGTGCAGTTTTGGCCGCAGATTATCTTTTTTGCTGTTGAAAAAGATTCTACCACGGTGGGTGTTAGTGCACTACAACCAACTTCTGCCAGTTGCCCGTGTCTGTCTGATCCCCAAAGATAGGCATTACATTTCCCTCCAATCTGCCAATCTTGTGGCCTTTGAGTAATCCATTGCATGATTTGTTCATCTTGTTTGATACTCCAAAATGTTGTTTGGGCTAAATCAACTTTACTATCTACTTCTCCTTCGGTTGTTGTTGTTGGACTGGCATCAATGTGGTCAATAATATTAGCGGGTAACTCGATTCTTTTTACCAAACTGTTGGCCATTTTGGTAGTCAGACTGATTACATGTAACCAGCTGTATTCTTGGACAACTTCTCCATCGATTTTATCATTAAAAGGTTTTACAGGATGACATAAACATTTGTCGAGCTCGAGCAAAAGAGCTAACGACGTTAAACTCTTGAAAAATAAACTGTGCATCAAATTGACACCCGTTTGTACAAAGAACTTTTCAAAATTGTATTGGCATTGTAAAATGACAGGCAAATAGGATACAAGAAGTTTTAGGAACGGTGCTGATTGAAGTCCTCTAATACCTTTTTGTAAGAGAGTAGTTCGTGCTGTTGCAAGGGCCATTCCTTCCTTGTACTGTTCAGGGCCATATTTAAGTATAATTATGGCTTTGGATCGAGAAAACGCGATCCCTAACGAGTAATCATTAATCCACGTTAAACCGTCATACTTTACACCTCCAGATCCTGTAATTGTCTTCAATAAACTGCCGTCATGCAATGACCATATATTGACAACAGTACTGGAACCTTTCAGACAACCACTTGCAAAAAACAATCCTTTGGGATGTATCGATATGGTTGTAACTGGGTTATAAGAGTGACCTTGCGAATTCATTACCATCTGGGGTTCCAACTTATCAATATTTTCGACATTAGGTAATTTCCATACGCACACACTACCATAACTCGTTCCGATGATGATAAGAAAAGGAAAACTGCTTCCGCCAATGAGTGGTGACCACTGTAAAGAAACGGGTTCGTGCGGCTGAATGAAGGAATGTAAGAGACGGAATTCGTCTTGAACTTTATGCCAAATCTTGCATGTTAGATCGGCAGATGCAGTTGCCAAGATAGTGCCACCAGGCCCCCATTTCACAGACGTTATAGCGCTCTCATGAGCTTTAGTGGCAATAACGTCACCAGTTGGATCTATTACTCCAAACTTGAGAGTACCATCAATGAACCCAACTGCGAAATACTGATGTTCGTAATACCAATCAGTTGCAACAACAGCTAAACGTAATAAAGAATAAATATCTTAAGAACACTACTAGAAAATGCAAGATATATAATCTTACCGTGTTGGAGTGAACAATTTGAAAGATGTTGAACTTCCTTGGTTTCTGAAGTGATCGAAATCAGTGAGACTGATCCATCGATCCTTCCTATTAAAAGATATTCTTTCCCATTCAAATCTTCTTCCCTTTTAATTTGTGGCCATGTCATGGTTGTTATAAATTCCTTCTGCCCATCAATAAACCATTTTTGTAAGCCTTCTCTCTCTTGGCTCATGTTTCTTGTAGGCCATACGTTTATGACATTTTCCATTGCGGCTGCCACGAAATCTCCATTTGGTGACCATTTCAAATGACCTATCGTTTTTCCTTGTAACTCAGCTCCATACACGTTAATCGATTCATGGAAAACGAACATGTGTTCGAGATAGAAACATTCTTTTTTATTGAAATTCCATACTCGTACAGTTCCATCCAGGCCGCTCGATGCGAGCAGTTTTTTTTTCTCGCACCAAGCCAACATTCTGACTCCGTGATCATGACCTTCGAGCGAATCGGCCTGAATGTGAGGGAGGGTGTCGGAAAGATCGGCAAAATTCACTTGATCCGAGTTTGGATGAGAAAACATTTGAACCTGGGCAAAGAAGAAAATACACACTTATAAAATATTCACAAACTTCACATATTCGTGGTCCTTTTACCTTTGTTGCAATGCATTTGAACAGTTGTTCAGTAGCCCATTCTTTGTTCTGGTGTGCCACTTGCTTTGATAAAATATACGCTGCCAATGCATTGGCCAGAGCTAAAGGCTCCGAATGATTAGCATTTGCTGAACCAAGAGGCGCCTCTTCCTTTGCCATATCAAGCAGCGAACTACCCCCGTGTGACGACAGGATATTAACAAGAGCCTGGGTGACTGCAAATCGTCCATTAAACATCAAAATTCCCATCGACGATACTATCAAGTCCTTCGTACACATTGACACAACCATTTTTGAAGCATCCGCATTATTCTGTGCAAGCGCCGCAATGCTCACGCTCAGATTGCAAAGAGACGCATGTGCCGCAGCAGAACGGATACTGGTGTCCGCGAGGGATTTGGAAAGTGTTGCCACGTTCGCATAATGGTCAACTGCTGGTGTTGAGTTGTTCATCTCGATCCTATTCATGGCTATCAAGGTCATCAATTTAACCACTGTGGGCACGTCGTCCAGTCCTATAATTTCCAGTCCGTGCACAAGATTTGCAGAGCTGTTGCTACGCGCCAGGATTGACAACACGTTCAGAACTATCGAACGAGATAAAAGGATTTGAATAGATTGTGTGAAATGAGAATGGGCGGTTATGCGATCGAGGGAGGTGGTAAGATTATTTGCCTGACGTCCCAAGTAACGAGCCTCATACTCGCACTTTTGATTTTCGCGGGTCACCGTTGGTACCACTGACGAACCGAGATAGTCGCCTTCTTTCATGGGTATGGCTTGGGGTTGGAAATTGTCTTTCAAACCAAGAACGAATTTTACATCTGGTAAAGAAAATTTAAATGATTCTACGTCTTCTTCTAAGGATTCTGTCTTGTCTGGAAAAAAAAGTAAAACACGAGTTAATATTAATAACTAAAATAGTTTACAACTATGAATATGTTAGTCAAGTGTGTGCGTGTGCGCGCGTGTGTGTGAATGTGTGTGTGTTTGTTGTTTTAACTTACCATTTTCGTCAAATATAATATCAGGGGCAGGCGTCCTACGACTAGGTTTCGAAAGTTTATGTTTACTGACTTCTCTGTCAGTGCATTTATGGCATAGAATATAGTGAGTGCCTGCAAAAGTAAGTAAACAGTAATTTAAATTCTATAAAATATTCACAACCGCTACCCGATCATTATTATATATTATGTGCCTGTTTTCTATAAAAGAAAATAGTAGTATCTTTTATAGTAAAATAAATTATAGAACGCTAAGTAAAGCATATGGGTATATTGAAACTACTAAACATGATGGCTTAAGTAATCCTCAGAAGTTCATCAGACATTAAAAATTAAAACGTAAACGTAAAAAATCGATATCAAATAAAGAGTTCGTATTTACTTAGTTAATAGAAATATAATTCAAATTCTTCTATTTTAAAACATGATTATAGCATACATGTTAAAATAATTATAAATGCTAAAAACATGAATGTGTAGTAAAATGAATTAATTTTTACTACTACAGACAACCTTAAATTAATAATGAAAAATTGGTGCTGCTTTCAAGCCTTCGCAGGGAATCAAACCCGGGTCCCTGACTTTACGTATCACTGTTCTAGCACTAAGCTACGTTAGATGACAGCAGCAACGATATTTGTTGCTTAGTGGTAGAGCAATGGCGCATAAAGCCAGGGATCCGGGTTCGATTCCCGGCGAAGGCGTGATAACAGCAGCAATTTTTCGTCATTACTTTGAGGATATCTGTGGCGATAAAAAATTAATTCACTCTAATGTATTGAAATTAATCCTACAAAAAAAACTCTAAATGTCTTAATGTAATGAAGCTCCAAGAAAAAAAATTAATTAACATTAAGTGTAACAAAAACAGAGTATATTACATTCGGATATTACGCAAATAAAACTACAATAAAAATCAATTATTTTTATTGTTAAGCAGTAATATTAGAGCGATAAAAATATTCAATTCTTTACCAGTTGAACTGAAAATGTTAACAGTATGTATAAAAATATTTATATAAATCCTTACCTAAGAGATTTCCGCAACAACCAGGACCCCAGATAGAACCACATCCTGGATGATACGACATCATATGCGAATTTAAATTGGCCGAAAGGTGACCACAAAGACTACATCTTGCACAGCTATTGGAAACCTAAGAAGAATTCATTTGTTAAATTAAATTATAATTTATTAAACCAAAGCATCTTACTCTTTATGAGAAATAATATTTTTATTGTTTTATGTACTTGTTACTGTCTTTTAATGAGTATATATTGTTCTTTTATATTTGTTTGTATGTTTATTTTGTTAACTATAGACGTTTCTTACATTTTAAATAATGGTAAAATTCGTTTACGTTTACGAAAACAATTCCGTTTTAGCTACCGTAATGTGAAATGCAATATTTGACAATCCGACTGAACCATTAGTTAGCCGTTAACAAAAACATATTCTAATGTCGAATTTTACAGGTTGATTTCAACATTAAAAGAACGACATATGAACTTACGTTTATAACTTGGCAATTATGGTTGTTAGACATTGAAGAGATGCCTGATGTGTCGACTCCATCGTCAAAGGAAAGATTAGAAGACATAAGGGGATGAGTTTCACCGCGCATGTGCGGCCTATCTCTTTCCCGTTCGTGCATTCGTTCCATCTGTTCTAGCCTTTCCACGAGATAGTTTCGAAACTCGTTACCTGTACGTCGCGAGCATCTTCCAAAAATACTTTCCACTTCTGTGTTTTCCAAATTCTGACGAGACATTTAATAGAATTAAATAAATTTTTTTATTACATGTATGATTAAAAAAGATGAAATCAAGACCGTTTAACAGTCCATATTGATAAAAACTTAGTATCTCGGAAGTTATTGGGTTTAAAACAAATTTAAGAAGAATTCTGTAAAAAATGAAATCCTCTTGAAAGTTACTATTTAACTTTTTTTGTATATTGAATAATTTAGCCAAAATAAGTGTTCAATCCACCAATAAAAAATTCTGAAATACATAAAGGAGATGCCTTGAGAACAATTTGTAGAGAATTTAATTTCCTGCATAATGACTTGTGGTAGAACTTTCTAAGAGTAAATCCATTTAAGTTGTTAATGTGAAAAATACCGTATTTTTTTGCTTATTACTTATACGAACAGCCTTAAAATACAAGAAACGTCTTAATCTTTCAGTTAAGATCTTACACTATTTATTTAACAGGATGACTAATCATCAAGTTAGAATAAGAAAAACAGTTCCTTTTTCGCTATACCTGAATATACATATACAAAAATGTAACAAATAAAACCTACATGAGGACAAGTCTGTGGATGAAGAAATCGAGTCGTCCTTAGACTTGGGGTACTCTCTTCGCTTCTGATCGATGCAGCTGAGTTTGCGCTGTCAAGGGCATGAGCGGGTCCCATGGCTCCCGCTACTGTTCCATTATCTAGGGCCGATTCTCCCCCTATGTAGGGATGTTCTAACATCCAGGTGGTCAATACTTGCATTGTATGGGCGCTCACTTCGCCCGAACTTTTCGTAGCGTTGATGGCACGCAAAATGTGACGCAAGGTGAAACCCATTTCAAGCAATGGGGCTGCTATCGGAGGTGGATGAGATGGCGAATTTGAACGTCTCCACGCACTCCAAAATTCGTCTCTGTCTAGATTAGAAAACAAACGTCTACGGCGCTCTGGAGAAACAAAAACAGTCGGAAAACACAAAACTAGCGAAGCTAACACAAAAATACATCATACAGAATATTTTGTAAATCTTAAACAAAATAGACGAAAATAGTGCGGATCATTAAAAACAAAAAAAAAAAGGTATTTGTTTTGTATGTTATTTGAATGCATTTTACGGGGTGGAGCTTTTGGGCTCTTCAGCTCCCCCTTTCATCACTAAATTAACTTGCAGCAAAATTCAACACATGTATGTACATGCAAAGAAAAAAAACGGTTACAAGCGTGCATAAACAGCTATCGTACTTACCTTGCGTTATAAAATCTGACATGGGACCAGAAAAATAATTCGAGAATCCAAACCCGGTAGGTACCCGAGGTACTGTCAAGGTGGCAGAACTGCGACTACACATTCGTTGATTCGAATTGAAATTTCCACTGGACATACTACTCGATGAACTGGCCCCGTCCATAGAACTGTTAATTTTCTGTGGACCATCTTCAATGTCCCCATCACACTCGTATCGATTTTTTAGAAAGTTAGAGTGTAGGACACTTTGTGCCCTTTCAAATTCCACAATATCAATCATATGCTTTAGTTTACATTCGGAAATTGATTTTTTTACTAAGTGGGGCATTATTTCTCGAATTGCCTCCTGAAGATCATTTGTTAAATTGTCCGGCTGTTCCTTATTCTGACACTAAATGATTGCAAAAATAACGAAATTACCTTTAAATGGGAACTCAATAACCATAGGGTATTATTATGAAAGCAAATAATATTATGTAACTGATAAAAAATAAAATATAGAGGTTTTCATAGCGTCTACGTGTACAGTTTATTGCCTATATTTTGTTTATTAGAATTTAAGTATTAAAATTGTTGTTTTTAGTTAAAAAAATTGAAAAATTATCTGACCAATTTTATTTCTATACATACAAAAAAATAATTATTAGTGGATTATGATGAAAAAAGTATTAATATATAAATTCAAAGTTAATCAAGTTTGACTAAAATCAACATAATGGAAAATCTCTCCAAAAACCTGTGCAACGTCTTATTTTAATGTTATAATTATTTCGGCATCTAGTTAACTATTAAAACAGCACCCAGCAAAACCACTATCGGGTTTATATCTACTGTAAATATCCGTTTTAATAACATACTGAAATACTCACCCACTTGTTGCTCGCCAACAAAAGTATGTCTGAATACTTATTCGAAATAAGCAACACGTTTAATGTCTTAAGAGCCGAAAATTGAAGATAAGCAAGTTGCAAACAATATCTTTCGATTGCTAACAATTTTGCTTGTAGAACTTTGAGATCGTAGCTGTTATATTGTGTTTGTGCCCTTTCGTGCAATCCTACTGACATACTTCCGCCATTACCACCACCACCACCCCCTCCAGAACAGCCACTGCTTCCATGCTGTGATCCTGCTGCTGTCATCTTTTTCGTGCTAATCTTCTTTACCTCGCCCAATATATTGAACACTAACTCGTTAGTGAGAGACTCCACTGTTCTAATAACATTCTGTTTGGCACCACTGTTTTTGGACACCTGTGAATCGGAAGTAGAACGCCAACCATCAGAGACGGATGAGTTTCGACGAGATTGTGCTATATTTTCATTCTTTAACAGGTCCTTCTCAGCATTCGTTAACTTATATTCAGGAAATTTAATTCTATCAGTAACCCCCGACAGCCTAATCAAGTTTTTTAGTATGTCACCGGTAACACCTTGAATTATTAAAGACATTATTATTATTTCCATTTCAATCGTTCTTCTTTTAATTATAATTTTACTCACCAGTTAATTTTATAGCATTAAATTGTACCGGTTCCACATGTTCTAGAGAAGGATAAGAAACATCTGACATATCTCCATCAGGCAACCAAAGAACTTTAATAACTGTCACACCCTTTTTAAGTATTCCCATCACTATTCCCTTTCTCCTGCTGGTTTTATGGATGCACAGCCCACCCATTCTAAGCCCTCTATCCGCACCTAAATAAAATAATATACCATACGATTATATTTATAATTACATTACAGTTACCTCCGATTATAGCCAAAGCTGGCCAAACAAGTTTGCACAATTTATCGGCTTTGGTGTCAAAATTAGTGGTAGAATCACTTTTGGGAGTTTCGTCCAAAATTGCAGTTTCAGGGAAAATATGCGTTATTTGTTTTAAACCATTTAAAATACATGAGTTTATCTATAAATAAAAGGGCGAATAAAAAAATTGTGAATTGCTTATGCGATAAACATTTACCTCTTCAGTCCATGCATCAGAGGTGTGAAGTTTTCGTAACAAACCAATATGTGATTCTGCCAGAACGATGGCCAAGGGAGATAAGTCAGGGTCTCCAGGTAGTAAATCCCTTTTTGTATGAATCTGAAATTTTTCTTATTGTACATCTTATTCTGACTATTAAAATACAATAATTCAACAGTTCTTTGGTTCTGCTTAAAATTCGTAAATTAGGTGCAATAAAAATTAGTTTTATTAACTTCCGTATAAAACAATTATTCCAACTGAAAGTGAAGTAACAACGACCACCTTGTAATGAGTAAATAAAATAAAGTAAAATTAGGTGCTTACCAGCATATCAGTCATCTTGACTTTTTCTCCTGGGTGTGTACTATAAAACATGACACAAGGATACAATTCCGTCTCCTCGATCTCCTCAAAAGCTATCTTTGGTTCTTCTCCATTTTTTCCAAAGCTTAAAGTCTTCGCGTCCATGTCCAAAACAACAGTTATGTAATCTCCTTGTGTGTAACTTTGCAAAGATAAATCCCTTTCCCCATTATGATACAAACTGCCACTGTAAGCTCTATACAACCACATATCACTCGTGGTACGGTGACTAAAGTCTTTAATTGGATACTTCGATACTCCTATACATGTTCCCTCATTTCCCTTACTCTCTTTTACTATAAGAATCTTCCACTGGTAACAACCCGATTTGATAACTTGCGATCCAAGACCATATCCTTTACCATCTGGTCCGTGCACTAAAGTGAGTCCTCCTTCTACTGTACAATTACAGCATTTATCAAGATCAAAGCCCATGTTATGAATTGGCAAATTCTCATCAACGTCAGTGCAAAAGTCGTCGAATCCTCTGTAATTTTCTAAACGATCCAGGGCTCTCTCAATTGCCTTGTGCTTTTCTTCTTCGGTCTCTAAAAAATTTCCATGCTCCATCCACATTTGATCTGCTAAACTGTCATATATTTTTTGCACGACTTCTTGACGGAATTTACATTCTACACTGGAAGATTTTAAAGCCGGGAGCACCGTTTGTAGCAATTGTATAGCCAACAATTTAGGCCTGAGAGCATGTACGTGAATGGGAAGCTGGTTCTCTTTGCTCTCTAATAACGATACAAGCTTATTGATCCACCTTGGGGTTCCTATGAGTCTTTGAATACTTTTAGAGGCAGCCATTGTTCGAAGAAAAACTATGAAGTCGCCTAAAGTTCTTGAGTAACTGGACATAATTCGATTGTAAGGGAAATGCTTCAGAACTTCCGCAACGTTTAAAAAGTTATTATTTCCTATTAAAGCATCGAACTGTTCATACAACTGATCGACCACGTTTTCTATAACAGATGCTTCCAATTTTTTTGAATGCAAACAACACGAAATTGCTAGAATGTACAATAACCTTTTGCAAGCAACGTTCAGAGTCTGCCTCTTATTAATTATAGACGAAGACATTAACTGGAAGTTGCAGATATTCTTTAGCAAAGGCATAAGACCGTTTTCCACCACAAGAATGAGATCGTCTGGAAAATATCTTCTGCTAAGTACGAAGATAACGAGTAGCTTCAGGTTTCTATTACGTTCGTTATCAATATCCTTAGCCAATGAATGAATCAACAGCCTATAAATTCTGTGTACTCTTTCTCTGATTTTTTCTTGAATATCTTGAGGTGATGCTTGAATACCTTCAAGATAGTGGTGCAATTGGGTACAAGAATCATTAGAGTCAATGTTATTTAATCCAAAGCAGCCGCTCAAAAGATACTGTTGCACATGATTAATGGCAGTCGGACAGCCTTCAGCTTGCGATTTGAATAAAAGTTCATAAATCTCGTCAAGGCATTTCAATCTACTTTCAGCTCTTTTGTTCTGGAAGCAAAGAGCTGAATAAATGATTTTTGGCTCTGTCAGCCAACCGACGGCTGTATTATTATCAGTTTTGATGTTAGGTGTGTCAGAAACGTATTGCATTAAGGTCATTCCAAAATTACGCAAGTTCCGGGATTTAAAATTGTCCCGTATATTCTCATAAAAATCTACATACGGTTTTTCGACTTCAAAATTTTCATCGGACGATGAGAATTGTAGTTCATTTTCTAATTCGATATCTAAATAAGCGTACAAAAAAAACGTGTAAGAAACATTTAAAAACCTTTGACATTAATGATATCAAAATTAGCAGTATCTAAATTTATAAATAAAAAAAATCAGATCAAAATAAGACTTCAANCGTCCGATTTTTCTGTTGTTTCCGGTTGCGGGCATATGCAACGGGACTTCTCAATACAATGAGCTAACAGGTGGTTTTGCAATGACGAGAGTAGTTTTCTTAAATGGGATATACGAGAACTATTAGCGTTTTTCCAGTTGCTTTTCGCACCACTCTCTATATGGTGAACAACACTATCCAAAGTTTGTTCCTATAACAAAAAAATTAAACAAGGAAAGATTAAATAGATAAATAAACGTTCCTCGGTCATTATTATCAATGAAAAGTTTTATTGTCCAATATTTTATGTAAAATTGATGTTTCTATCAAGTCAATACTGTCCGTTTAATTGTTTGATAATTGCAGACGTTAGAAGTACGTTAAATTTAAATGGAAACTTTTTATAGAAAATATGTCTTTACAAAACACTCTTTTCAAAAATAACTAACTCTTAAGACTGGCAGACCATGAAAAAAAGTATCGTTCAAAAATGACACACCCTGAAGTATACATTTTGCAACTCACCTTTGATAAAGCACAAAATGAAAAGGCACCTTTCAAGTACTCGATGACACTTGACTCGAAATTCATACGTCGTATCTTCCTTCGAGGTCTCCTCTCCTTGAAACTCTAGATCATTCTCCCTGTCACTTGATATTTCTCCTTCTGACCCTGAAGACACGAACCCATTCGAATATTGCATCTTTGGCATAAGTAGTTTCCGTCTAAGTCCCATGGCAATCCCGTACATTACCTTCACCGAAGGATTTGACATAGACTTCTTCAATAGGCTAGCATGCTTCAGTAAAGTTATCAAAAAACACCTCACGGTCGTCTCCAGCAACTGAGCATCACCATCGTCCCTGTCCCAAGTCTCAACACTCGACGTTTCGATCATTGCATCGTAAAATCCTTTTTCGTGCACGTCTTCGCTTTGAACGGCACAAGCTTCGTCATATTGGCATGGCAAATTCAATGCTAAATTGCAATAAACTTGCGTTTCCAGACTGAGTTTAGCAATGGCAGTTGATATTTGTTCGGGTACATTTAATAAGACTAGATAGACGATCTCGTTGATCACTTCAAGATCAGCATGATCGATGGCGAGGCCGTTGGAAAATATGATAGTTTTTAACCATTTTTGACACCGTTTTTCGTCATCGGTTGGAGGATCGCCTACCAACATACCTCCCAATCGCTGACCAACGAGGAACGAACAAGTTCGTTCCAGATCTATTAACCATATCCACGACTGTTCAGCCAGTTGAGTTAATGTGGGCGTTTCCGTACCTAAACAAAAGCACATAATCATTTTTGAAGTGTAGACGCGTTTATTGCTAACGAGAGAACGTCAGTAACACTGAATCGGGTTTACTCGCTTCCACTCGACACCAATTGATGACGCACTAAATCATGTATACTCGGCTCCAATCGTCATCAGTATAGTATTTTGATATAATACGCGTGCAATCAGAGCAAAACTTCACAATATAATTAATTCACAAATATAATTGTTTATTTTGTAACTAATATTACTTCGCAGATACAGAGATAAAAATAATTTTATATAAGAATATCCATATTATTCCATAGGGGAATTCTACGTTATATGACGCGCGCTTGTCATCCGTCAGGGTTTCCCGCGATTATTCCCAAGCTTCGTCTGGGCGGTATTTTTAAAATACTCCAAAATTTACATTTTTCTTTTTACATGAAAAACAATTATTATCTATTTCTGCCTATAATTTTGGTAAGCTTCAAAATTATGTCACGTCTGACAACACTGCTTAGACGATCGCAGTAAATTTTTGTTAAAACGTTTTATCAAGTATCGCGCGCATCATCATCATCATTATAAGGTCGTCAGTCCTAAGACTGGTTGGACACATACCTCCACTCTTTCCTATCCTGAGCATTTCCCTAAAACTAGAACAACCCACATCCTTAACTATTTGCGAACAGTAATCTAACCTAGGTCTACCTCTACCCCTCTTAATTCCTGTTTCTGCCTCTAATATATCTCTGACTAGAGCTTCATGCCTGAGAAGGTGTCCTACCAACCTATCTCGCCTATTTCTTATTGACTTCCATAGAGTCCTCTGTTCTCCTATTCTTTCCAATACCTCTTCATTTCTAACCTTATCTACCCACGTTATCATCATCATTCGCCTATAACACCACAGTATGCATGCTCATAAAATTGAAATTTCTTTTCGTAAGCATGGAAACAGCTACTTTCATTCGTTTTTAAAGGATAGGAATGTCGAACTTTCTGCGGAGGTGTGACAAAAAATGTAGGTTTGTATAATTATGCACTTTAGAATCGAAGTCCACTCACCTGAGATTATCAAATCGCTGTCCATTTGAACTTCTTCAGGCAAATGAGCGTTCAATTTCTGTAATGAAGGCAGCAAGTCCAATATTTTGCTCAGAATTGGACTGAGAAAACTTCCCGGCATGAGTAGCATAGAATTCAATATTTTAAGCAGCATGGAACCGCACAATGAGTCTAAGAGAACATTGTAGAATAATTCGAGACTCGACGAGTGTTTTTCCAATATGTTGGCAGTCTTGTTGAACAATCTGGACGCGAGCGGAAACAGATAAGAAAAATGATTGATCAACAGACGGAAACTAGAAGAGTCGTCCGATTTTTCTGTTGTTTCCGGTTGCGGGCATATGCAACGGGACTTCTCAATACAATGAGCTAACAGGTGGTTTTGCAATGACGAGAGTAGTTTTCTTAAATGGGATATACGAGAACTATTAGCGTTTTTCCAGTTGCTTTTCGCACCACTCTCTATATGGTGAACAACACTATCCAAAGTTTGTTCCTATAACAAAAAAAATTAAACAAGGAAAGATTAAATAGTGAATAACATTTATAAGATTAACTCACCGTTGTGACGCTAAACGTCTGCAATAGGGATGCCATCAAAGTTTCTGTAAGATAAAGGTCTTTTGAATCAAATTTTTCAGGTAAACTACTGTATCCCAATAAAGTAGCAATATATGAGGGCTCTTCTAAACTGTATAAAACGATTTCTAATAACATTTGTTGCCCCTGCGACAGAGTATTGATGTGAGGCAACTGCTCATTTAAAAATTCAATTCTCTCCTTCAGTTGAGGTAAAAGAAACGATGCTCCATTACTTAAAACTTCTTGTATATGTGTTTGGATTTCAGGAGGTGTTGATATATCGACCAACCTAAATAAAAAACCTGACATCAAATGTGATAAATTGATGGCACTGTTTACTAAATAATAATTGATAATTTTATTAGTTACAATTTCAAAAATTCTTTCAAATATTTCATATTAACAAAATTTCAATTAAACTAATCGATTGATAAACCTTTAATATTACCCTGAGTGTCTTTGATCTTGGTAGCATCCATTCAACTTACAAATTAATAATTAATTAATTAATCAATTAATTAAATAAAACGGCTTACCTGAAAAGAATCATTCGTAATCCTTTGGCCTGTTGACCAAGGATATGGCTGCTCATTCCGCCCGTCACGCACATATTTAAGTGGGTGCACAACAACTTAAGACACTGCCCCAAAAATTCATTATGCTCGTTCGAAGTTTTGAAAGGAGTCGGTGGCTTGTCTTCATAAAAACCATTGGAATATTTCTCAAGAAATTTTCTCAAATATTCAAAAGTTTTCTCGTTTAAATCCAAGCAAAAGGGCTTGTGACGGGTCACTGGTTGAGCATCAGTCGGGGTAGCAGTCCATGCTATGGAATGCGAAGTACCTTAAAAAGAAAATTGTATAAAGAGCAGTTCTCATAAAATAAATAAATAATTAATAAACAATTCGACCCATTCTACGGGACTTGAACCACGAACTCAAACGATGGCGTCCTCTGAGGTAAAGCACTCCGGTCGTAAACTAGTCCCCTATTCGGATATCCGGGCGGGGACTACTTCGGGGATGTCATCAATAAGTTCAATAGGGGAAGGTGTAATATTTATATAAGTAGGGAAATTAGAAAATTTAAAAGTTGAGATGAATAGACTACAGTTAGATATACTAGGCATTAGTGAAGTCCGTTAGAGACTTCTGGAGTGGAGACATTAGAATAATACATACAGGATCGGTGCAAGGTAATTCGGGGGTAGGAATTGTAATATGTAGGAAAGCAGGACAGAGTGTAGAAAGTTATTTACAAAAAAGGGATAGGATAGTTATGGATAAATTAAACTCGAAACCGGTAAAATATTACCGTTTTTACTGTGCAGGTCTATATGCCTACATCATCTTACAACGATGAAGACGCAGCAACGCAGAAAAGTAAATATTAGGAAGGGAGTCAGACAAGGATGCACACAGTCACCGCTACTTTTTAATCTTAATTTTTTAATAGAAGATGCAGTCAACTTCATTAAAATCAATACAACTGTAGGGATAGATATACAGGGGCAAAAGATTGGTATGCTTAGATTTGCAGATGATATAGGAGTAATTAACATCTAGCAAGGAGGAGTTAGAGATAGTTTTAAATAAAATGGAAGCGGTATTAACAAAACAGTATTGTAAGAAAATAAATAAAAGTAAAACAAAAATAATGGTATGCAAAGGAAGAAAAAATAGGGAAAGAGTGAATATAAAGATAGGGGGTGAAAGATTAGAAGAAGTGACTGATTTTAAGTATCTAGGAAAGCAGATAAGTCAGGACGGAATGAGTAGTAGGGATACAAAGCAAAGGATAGCTCAGGGTCGAGTCGCCTTCAATAGAAAGAAGTCACTTCTATGCTCCCAAACGGTTAATTTTGAAATTCGAAAAAAAATGTTAAAGGTGTATGTTTGAAGCGCGGACGAAAAGGAAAGGTTAGACGCGTTCGAAATGAGGTGTTACAGGCGAATAACGAGGATACCGTGGATAAAGAAAATTAGAAATGAAGAGATATTAGAAAGAATAGGTGAACAGAGGAAGTGTGGAAGTCAATAACAAAAGGTGAGATAGGTTTGTAGGATACCTTCTCAGGGCTAATCAGAGACATATTACAGGCAGAAACAGGAGTTAAGAGGAGTAGAGGTAGACCTAGATTAGATTACTGTTCGCAAGTGGTTAAGGATGTGGGATGTTCTAGTTTTAGGGAAATACGAAAATTAACTCAGGATAGGAGTGGAGGTACGTGCCCAACCAGTCTTAGGACTGACGACCTTATGATGATGAAACAATTCGAAAGTATAAATAAAAAACACTTGGATGGCTTTACACTAATTTAGGTAAATTTTGTACCTGCACTTATTTGTCGAACGTTGACTCCCACCAATCCCAAAACCTTTTGAGGACGAGAGATGGGACTGTTAATGTGTCCTACACCGCATTGTCCCATTGCGTTATTTCCCCAGGCAAAAACCTCACCCTCATCAGAAAGTGCCAAACAGTGGATGTCACCGGCAGAAACGTCCACGATTGTATACGAGGCCAAGTCTTGAACTAGAGTGGGCAAGACGCTTATAGTGTCCACAGAACCCGTACCTAAACATGGGCCACTGCCCCACGTATATACCTATTCAAAACAAAATTAAAAACTAGAATGCTAAAATATATAATAAACAAATCACTAAAGCATTTTCAGAACAAACATAATTTACCTGTCCAGAATTTGNAAAAAAAATTGATAATTTTTTAATATTTATTACTTTTGGAGATCATGCAACAATTTTCTCTTCGGCAAAATTTTGTAAACAAATATGTCCCTAATTTGTTTGACTGAGGAATCGAAACAATTGTACTCGGTGATTGGATTAGATATAAAACTTTATTAAACTCAAAGTTTCGAGCGTACTCTTCAATGTTCTTTTTATTAAAGCATTTTCAGAACAAACATAATTTACCTGTCCAGAATTTGTAAGTGCCACTGAAAAAGTTGTTCCAGCACACACCTTCCTTATTATCATCCCTTGCAACGCCTCTATCACTTTGGGCCTATAAACCTTCGCAATCTCCCCATGCCCCAATCTGCCACTGTCCCCAGACCCAAAGGACCACACTGTTGTCCCATCCTTGGACAACGCCAAAGTATGAGCGCAGCCACAAGCTACTCCTCCTACGTCACTAAGGTCCCTTACGAGGGTCGGTATGTTTCGGGGATTACTGTCTCCATGACCCAATCGCCCATGATCTCCTTCTCCCCAGGTATACAGCTCACCATCTTCTGTTACAGCGGCGCTATGTCGATAACCTGATGAACAGAAAAACAATAATCACTGTTAAAAGAAAAAAAAAATTTTAAATTACCTGCTTGAACTTGAATGACAACTTTTCCTAGTAACGGCCCCCCGACGAGTTTAGGTTGTTTTTCGGTATTACTATTATTGTGTCCCAGTTTTCCGTAGTCTCCGTCTCCCCAACTGTAAACGAGTCCGTCCTCAGTCAACGCTAAAGAATGCCCATCACTACCTTTCGAACTAGATATCTTTTTTACTGAGCTATCAATTAGCACCCTTTTAGGGGTACTTTGAGTAGCAGAATCTCCTAAACCTAATCTACCATATGTTCCTTTACCGCATGAGCTTACACTACCATCACGATATATCAGAAATGTACAATATTGACCTGCTTCAGCCTAGAAATTCAAATATGATTAGTACATTTTTTAATAAAAATATGCTCAAATGACTACCGTTTGAATTTGTACAAAGACTTTTGATTTAACTGGAACAATAATTTTTTCTTGTATTCCTTCTGCCAATTGATGTGAGGAATTACTTCCCCAGATAAAGCAATCACTTCCACTATCGTCTTTACAATTACCCGTTACGGCATTGTCAGAAGATGATGACCGTTCACAGTCCACAGCCATATTTACTAACTCCTCCATTAAATATAATGCAACTTCATACAAACAGATTTCATCATTATCAAAGTTGAACTTAAGCTTGGCTTTCTGTTTGTTACAATCCATGAGAAGTAAAGCTTTTTGAAAAGCATACGAAGTTATTCTACAATTATTCCCTTCATCTGTAGATGCATCTAGTGCCATCTCAATCCATTCAAGTAAAAATCTCAAGGAACCTCTTTGAAGTGCAAGACCTAACAGCAATTCAGTAGCAAGCATCTGGCCCTGCTTATCAACTCCAGGAGTATTTAGGACAGCTTCTTTTAAAAAACAAGAAACCTGTTCCAAACTGCTAACTCCCAAACTTGTTAAATGTAAATCATTTGCCAAAGAAAGTGAAGGTAAATTCTGTATCATGTCAAGAGCAGTCTTTAAGACAGAGTTACATAAAGAAGGAACCCCTAAATGGCTACTATTCATCCAGTTTTGTCTCAAAAGTGAAAACAATAAACTTAAACCAGTCTGAACCCCTATTTCTAAAAGGGCTCTGGATGCCATCACAGGCTCTTTAGGTATGTACATTAAATCATTGTAATTATTTGATGAAGACGCTTTAAACAATTCTCGCTCATGGTATTTAGAAACTATTGCAAAATAGATTCTCTTTAGAATTAACAACCTTTGTTTTAATATAACTGCAAAGGGAGTGGAAGAGCAGACTGACCTTGCAAGTTCCAACTGTGATGATAACAAAGATGTAATGAATTGCTCCAACTCTTCAGATGATGGAGACTCATACTGAAAATCTGGAAGCAACTGAACATCATTGTTAGAAAGAATTGGGGAAGGAATGATTCGAATTTCTTTATTGCTTAGCAATGTGTCAAACATGTACTCTACTAGATCTCGACTTGCTATGCTATCGCAGTCTTTAGATGACCAAGACGTGTTGGTATGATCTGTCCAGTCCGTTTCAACCGTTTCTACATTAAGTGGTGCACAACTTTCCATTTTCACTTCACTTTTGGAAGAAATTAATTTGAGTTTTCCGTATAACGTACAAAGTTATTAGGTGAAAGTTCAATTAAACTCGTTATGAGCATAATTAATGAGGCGTTATTCAATACAACATAATACGAAAATTTTACTGTATTATTTTGATTTTATTGTTTTCTAATCATTACGACAGTTTGACATCTCCAAATTCCAGCCAGCTGATACTTCAAAATTTCACAATTTTGTCTTACAATGATGACCTCAATTGTGAAAATTATGGTACAAACAACACATTATTAAACACAGAAATTTAACATGTTAATACAAAAACAATATTAAATTAATTAAAGATGTATAACTCCAACTTTTGCAATGTCTTATTATAGGCTACATTGCAAAACTTTGAACAAATGTTTTCTAATTTCTATGGATTGCTATCACTTCATTTATTCCATAGATTAACTAATTCCATAACTTCATACCATTGTTGTGACGCCATACTTTTTCAAATTTTGATTTTATTTATTTATTCTTTTTATATTTCTTTAATTTATTCTTTTATATCATCGGGCTTTCAACCCTTTCATTGAATTATATATAGATATTTATTTATTTTTTCTTTTTGAGATTCCGTGGGCATAGTCCCTTGTGGGCGTTT